TATGCTCACACTTGGAGACTCGGATACATAGAGTTAGGACCACACTTTGCAGAGGTGCCTTGGCGCGGCAGTGTGGCTTCTACATATTTTTGGCCAAAAGTTTGTGCAACTAAAACCTCTGATTTTAACGCATACTGTTGACAGGGCTACTTGTTTGGTTGCAGGCTGGCTGGCAGGTTGAGGCTGGGGAATTTTTGTGTTTTGTATTGTTGTAAGCCTTCCCAATGTGCGCCCTGCTATAAAGGCTGGTTATAGATTCATGCATGTACCATTTTTTCTCATTCACACAAGGCTTTGTAATTGCCAGCCTAAAGCTGTCAGTTACAGTCAATTGCATCGCCCAAGCATGTGTGTTGGGAGTTGCTGACCCTGGCTCATATTATCTATAGTTACCTCTAGACCACATATAAATAGGACATGAACGCAAATAAGGGTCCATTGACTTTCAGCTCTCTCCCAATGCCAGTCTAGGAACTCAGCAAAGTTTAGTTGAGTAACAGTATCAGTGGACTCGTAGAATTTATGTTAATTTAATTAAGTTACAAAGTGCATGCTTATTAGGCTACCCATCTACTGAGCCATTTTCCACAAGTGGCTGTACAAACCTTTTATGTTTAAACTGATATTTTCTTTATATAAAATGTAAGTTTATTTATTACAGCTCAAATAATTTAGAAATGTAAAAAAAAAAAAAAAATTTTTATGAAAAAGTACAGTACAAAACATGGTGCACAGCACACTTAGTGATATTCACAGTATATAACTTTTTCCAATAACAAATCCAGATCAAACAAATATACATTGCCCAGCAAATTATTTCTTTCAAATTTTGCCCAAGCACAAACAGTCATCCTGTTGCTGGTGCCGACTCTCTCAGCTCTGCTTCCCTGAAATTCCTGTCCAGTATAAGATCACAAGAGACAGCACAATCTCCAACAGCTGTCTGTCTACTAGCTTTAAGAGTAGAAGGGTAGGAGGACAAGGGCTCAGTGAGGCTCAATGAGGTGGGGAGTGACTTGCCTTGATATGTCTGTGTACAAACACACACACACAGCTTTTAAGCACACACAAGGGTGGCTCCATAGGACACTTGCAAGGGAAAGGAGTCACCCTAACACAAGATAGCATGGCCAGAACTATGGGCACCAGCTGATTCTGCAGGAAACTTAAACTTTTAAATATAAGGAAGCAGCATCCATTGTAAGCAATTTAATCAGCATTTAACATTGTGTTTAAAACATTTTGACTTTAATTTCTTTAACCAGTGCAATAACAACTATTGTCAGGTATAAAGCAGAAGCACTAGAGGTGCCTGCACATACCTGCATTTAGGCCGCAATGCTGGGCTATTATGACAGGCAAAGTTCCAGATAGTCAGGCCCGGATTTCCCACAAGGCCACCGAGGCCCGGCCTCGGGGCGGCAGAGCGCAGAGGGGCGGCAGCGGTGACCTTGTGGGGAAGTTGCAGGCGCTGGTGTAAGGTGTCCC